CTACATGTGTGTGTGTGTGTGTGTGTGTGTGTGTGTGTGTTTAAAGATTGCAATTTTTCTCTATTTTTGTACTTTTCAAATCCGCGCTCGATTTAAGAAAACAATAGCTTAAAAAGATAATGATTTAGCATCGTTGTGGGGACTTATGCCTAAGAGGAATAGTGAGAAGACGACAGAAATGTAAGCGACGAGAGTAAAAAGAGTGTAGTTTTTTTTCTTCCGTGGGTAAGGGGGAGGGGGGTGGAGGGGGAAGACGGAGGTGATGGGAGGCACAACGGATCTTTCGAGGGATCACGAAAAGGTCAGCGAATTGAGTGGTATGTATCCGAAAACGTATGCTTGGACGTGTTTATGCATCCCGTAGTAGCCTGCTAAGCAGAGATGCAGTTTAAGTTAACTTTGATGAGGTCACGACCTCTCACCCCACAGTTACATCAACTGTGACCTCTTGACCTGCCTTGCTGCATGTCGAAAATGCGAACATTTTCCCATAGTGCACCCATGGCCCGGAAGTTGATGCACTTCAAGACACTGGTCAACGCAGGAGAGAAGGCGGGGGTCTCCCTTGAACAATTACTTCGCAATCTTGATGGATAGGCCAGTCTTTTGTCACGGGTTAAGCCCCTTTCTTTAGAACCTATTTTCGCCCCTTAGTTCGGAGTCGCTTCCCTTGTGTCTCCAGTTTCAGCTTTCCCTTTCCCACCCATTGCCGCAGCAGCATCTTTAATGCGGATGCTGGGTCGGTGGGGCGAGAATTCTAAAATTAGGAGTGAGTCTTGACTCACAGACCAGAGGCCGCAAACACCTTGTCACAGACGACAGAATACAAAAACAAATTAAACTCAACTTCTTAACGTTCTGTAGATAACACGATATTTCAGAAAGTTAACAATGATTCACTTTGGACAGAAGGTAAATTGGTTTTATCTTTATTTTTTTGTTTGTTTGTGGTTTGGTTTGGTTTTGCTACGGGTGCTTCGCATTCGTTTTAACAACAAATCATTATACTATTATTTTGATAAAATACCTTTGTTTGTCCCTGAATGGATATGCAGGTGAGAGGAGTCTCAAACAATGACACCATTATACCTAGCTACTTCAGTTAAAGTGAGAGAGACGAGGGGGCGTTATTTACATTGCTATTAATGCTGAAAGCATAAAACACATAGGCTACTTTTTTAAATCTAAGGAAAAGATTTATAAATAAAAGGAGACATTTTCACTTCAAAATTTACACCAACTACGCATAGACACCTGACGCTGTTAGTTTTAAACAAATCTTAAAACCTAAAATAATTATAGATAAAATTCAACCTAGGCCAGGTAGACAATAAAGGATTTGATTTTAAGATTAATGAAAACATTTTTGTCAACGATTTCTTCTATTCTACTAGAACATGTTCAGTATTTATGTTCTATGAACTAAGTGGTCTTCAAGGAAGGCTTTCCCCACCATTTCGTGTTAGTCATGATATGCGGATCTTTATTCAAACGATTTCTACTCAAAAACATAAGATTTTTAAAAAGAATGAATGAACAGTCAATATATCCCATTAAAGAAAGAAATAACTTGAATTAGGATGTGGTCAAAGGGAACACGTGCGGATTAGAAGCCATTTTCCTCGAGTGTTGTTGAGATTAAAGCTCTGCCACGGCTATCAAGGAAACGGCCGACCACATGGCCAAACACAGACTGTGGGAATCTTTTACTGGCCATTGTCCTCGCATCTTTTGACCCCTGTGACCCTAACTGGACCTGAACGTTCGGGTTCACCTGTTGAGCAACTCCGTGCTGATATCGGGTTGTGGTCATTGCCACTCTCAGATCAGCCCCGGGTCGAAAAAGTCCATTAGTTTACAGGCATGTCAGCGGCTTTTGTCTCCACTCACTGTGAGAATGGCTCTCGAGCGCTTATCAGTATCAATCTCTTTCTCCCCGTCGGCTTCATGTTTGCCTTGCAGTCTCTGGCGAGGCTTCGGATTCCACCGTCCATTATTCTCGTATTGCTTGACCTCAGTGGTCAATTGATTGTCTGCAAGACATATAATATTTCTCACATTTCATGTCTGGAGTAGCTATTTCTACTCCTGTCTTTGCAATGTCGACATATTCTGTTACCTCTTCATTCTGTTCCTGAAGACAAACATATTGAAACATGGACATCTTGTGAGATCCAGGGCTTCTGTTTGCAATCCAAAGCTTTCATACCCTGCTCCGTCTTCATCTCTGCCAACTGTGTAACCAAGCAAAAGATCCCGAGGTGAAAAATTAAGCTTTAGCACTCTTATTTGCAAAGACCTTTGGCCTGTTGCTTTGTGGGTGTTGTGACAGTCGCTCTTTTTTTCATATAGGCGTATCTCAGGCAGTTTTGTTATTACATCTCTTTAGAATTGCTAATATTTATTTCATTTATTATCATGCATCGAAGTAGAAATAACATACGATCAACATCTGTTTGGAAAAGACAAAAAGAAATCCCTAACCAGCAGCAATAAAAAATTTTTCAATAATTTACGAAAAAAGAAGGATCTGCTGACATGGTACGTTCATCGCTCTCTCATTCTCTCTCTCTCTCTCTCTCTCTCTCTCTCTCTCTCTCTCTCTCTCTCTCTC